TATTTTAATACGGGGAGTTGCTTTTCAATCACCCTGTACATCTGATCATATTTTAGCATTCACTATCAACTTGATAAGTTTACTGTGATTCGCAATATAATCTTTGCAAATATCGATTCTATAAGGAGAAAAGGCAACATTTCATAGGCGGAAATAAATCAATAAATAACACTTAGGCTGTTTATTTTCTTTCTTTCTGAAAACATTATTTGTTATTTGAAGTCTCTACATTACAAATTACAGTTCATTGAATTTCTTTAAATGTAATACCTGATTTGTAATTCCAGTATAAAAAAAAGCAATACGTTTTACCAATTTATACCGAGTATGTATGAGTAAAACTTTTGCGTAGACAACTTTCATTTATCCGTCATGTTCCTACAGAACGTAACCGTTAACAGCTCTCCGCAGCTTCTTGTCCCTTGCAGTTCTAACCAACGTTTGACTCGATGATCAATATTTCCCTCCAGACTGGCATCCCTTCACACACACACATTAAGTAGGTTACCCGTATTTTGACTTTGTATCCCTTTACCTTAACTATGTTCTATGAGTGTTAAATTTTTCCAGCTCCCTTTCCTTGTTTATTGTTCCAGAAAATTTAGCTGTGTACTTCCGCTTATAAATATGTGTTTTTAGTTCCATCTTTCATTAAAACTTCCTCCCTGCTCGAATGTCCAGTACATGTCATTCTTAGAATTAACCCGTAAAAACCTTGTCTCTGTCGCTTGTAGTCTTTATAAACATCTTCGACTAGGATTCAACTGAAAACCAGAATGAACTGCTCAACCTCGGCATAAGCAATTGTACCCCTGATGATGATCCCAGAAAGAGATAGAAAGTACTTGGGTAATAAAAGTGATTCTCACTGTTACAGTGCATTTCTTGTCTCATTTAATTGTAATATACGGAAAAATATTCGTGAATATGAAAAGATTATGATCAAAATAAGTAAACATAACGTTTGTAACTTATTCCACCAGACATGCCTGAAAGAGAATTTGCTGACTAAATACACAAATAATATATATATATATATATATATATATATATATATATATATATATGTGTGTGTGTGTGTGTGTATAAAATGTTCTTCTACAAATATTTACCAACATTTAAGAATATATATATATATATATATATATATATATATATATATATATATATATATATATATATGTGTGTGTGTGTGTGTTAATCATATTCACCTTAGGTAAGGCGATAATGCCATTTAGACACAAGCAGTTTCTGTGAGTGAAATGGAATGAGAAGAAAACAAGGTATAAACCTCTACTCCTGTTCAAATGACTGGAGAGGTGTCTGAACCGGACAGTAGTCGAATCTATCTACTTGGGAAAAACAATAAAAAATAACTAAATAAATAGTAAATAAATTTTCAGATTTTAGGCTGAGACTCTAGAAGTATAGAACTGAAGTTGAATTTAGAAGGAACCATAAACTTCATCCTAAGCAGGAAACAGAAATTAAACCTCTACCCATGTTAAAAAGACCGGGGGAAGAAAAATAAAATAATAAATAAACTGATAATGTAAGGAATGTATTTTTTATATAAAGTCATCTCTGGTATATTGACGTGGAAGAAAATTGTATCAAGGAAATGTGCATATATAAACCATACAGAAAACAATACACACATCTTCTAATAACCCTCCTTCAATAATCAAACAGACACCAAAATCGATTATCCGCAGGCTTTCCGACAATTCATCTAATGAAACCATATTTAACGATGCTAAGAAAGACTACGAAACAGCCCAGAAGATAGTGGATTCCCAGCAGCACTCACATACTCACCACAGAACATAAAAAAACGGCCAATAGGAATGGAAATATCATATAGTCCAACCCACCGTACAGCAAAATTGTAAAAACAAACGTAGGTAAAATATTCTTCAAACTCTGAAACAAACACTTCCCGGAATCAAGCACTCCTCACAAAATATTCAATAAAAACACTGTAAAAGTCAGCTACAGTTGCACCGAGAACATGGCACAAATAATAAAAAGCACATCAGGAAAACTATCAATAAACCACTACAACAAATAAAACCCATATGTAACTGTAGAATAAAGAATGCATGTCGCTTAAATGGTAATTGCTTACAAAACAACGTAATATATACCAAGCCATGGTAAAATCACCAAATAATGAAGAAAAAGTATACATAGGAGTAACTGAAGGACCCTGGAAGCAAAGAAACTATGCACACAAAACATCTTTCACAAATAGTAAAACCGCAAACAGCACACTGCTTTCCAAGTATATCTGGGAAATTAAAAACAAAACACAAATCACACCAAAAATATCATGGAAAATAAGGAAAAGATTATCAGCCTACAACAACCATTACAAAACCTGCAAACTTTGCTTGGAGAAAAAATAGCTATTATCACCTTCCCAAACCAAAATAAATTACTAAATAAACGATCTAAGCTCATCTCAAACATGAAAACAAATTTTTACTACTTTACTTAAAAATTGAAAACTGAAATGAATAAATAAAAATAAACAAAATAATATAAAAAACAAGTAAAATAAATTAACCCAAACAAATAATAAACAAATTAACAAACCACTCCCAGAATAGACTAAATAGAATAAATAAAAATAAAAAATAAATACATAAAAATCAAGTAAAAATAATCAACCCAAATAAATAAATGAATAAAAAATAAAGTAAATAATAATAAACAAAATAATAAACTAGTCCCGCCAAAATAACCGTTAGAATAGACTATAACAAGCAATCCAAAAATTGAACGAAAAAATATCTATAAGTCTTATATAACGATAAAAAATTATACGAAACCGAATAGAATAAATAAAAACATACAAAATGAAAAATAAGTAAATAAATAAGAAAAAACACGTAAAAATTAATTCAAATAAATAAATAAATGAACAAATTAACAAATCGCTCTAAAATAACCGTTAGAACTAATAAAAATAAACATAAATATGCAAAACCAAGTAAAAATAAACAATCCAAATAAAAAAAATAAACAAATTAAAAACTGTCCTCCGTCAAAATAACAGAAAAAACTACTCAATCGATCTAAAAATTGAACGAATAAATAGCTTTATCTTCCCAGACCAAAATAAACTATTAAATAAGCAACCTAAAGGTAAAAAGCAGAAGCACATGGACAAATGTTAGACTTATAGAAAAGTAAGATAGATACTGAAGAAAAAAAATGTCTCGCCCGACACAGTGAACCAACTTTCTTAGCAACTGACCTAGCAATGGATTCAGCATAGTCTTTCCACTTCATATCACCTGGGAACGGTAGCCCGAGAAGACGGAACGAGTCACTTTTCTGGAGGTTAGCATCAGCCATGCTGATGGAAGGCAGCAAGGGGTCTCTCAGAGGTTTAATAGAAAGATTCCTAGTTTTGGAATCGTTAAAATTAACAGGCCATCTCTTTCCCCAGTTAACAACAGACGGGATGTCGTTTTGGATATCACCCGCCATTTTGCCATTACTATCGGGACAGTTGTAAATGACTGTGTCATCAGCGTTGATACCAAGTTGAGAGCAGATGCACTCGAGATGGCCATTAATGACAATTAAAAACAAAATTTGCATATTTTTCATGAGATAGCGGTAAAAAATCTCTTTGAGAAAAAGGCATGTTTGTCATTCATTTCTTTCAGGTATTCTGCTCCATCCGTGATATTAGGGTGCTAGTATATAATGAATATACTAATGCCTACAACGGGTGAAAGACACTGGAAATATGTCTTTCGTAGTAGCCCCATTAAGGCAGAGACGAAGATGAGACATGATAAATAAGAGTTTGGTACATTTTGGCGTAGCCCAATTGGCATCGCTGATTCGGCGTCACTGTTTCGGCGGCAGAAAAATAATTGGACTATTCGGCACAGATGTTTCGGCGTTAGACTGTTTCAACGTCACTGACTTTGACCGGAGGCCCCCATCCCAAAAGGATAAAAGCCTTGAAAACATCCAATTTTCAATATATTTCGGCGTAACCCATTTGGCGTCGCTGATTCGGCGTCGTTGTTTCGGCGTCAGAAAAATAATTGGACTATTCGGCACAGACGTTTAGGCGTCAGAGTGTTTCAACGTCACTGTTTTTCATTTGAGGCCCCAATTCCAAAAGGATAAAAGTCTTGAAAATACCCAATTTTCAATATGGTTCGGCGTAATCCGTTTTGCGTCGCTGATTCCACGTCGCTGTTTCAGTCTCAGAACAATAATTGGACTATTTGGCACAGACGTTCAGGTGTCAAACTGTTTCGACGTCACTGTCTTTGACTGGAGGCTGGTGGGTTGAGAGTTTCTTTTCTTAACAATTGCTTTTAGCTTTTCAATCTCTGTTTTTGCAGTAGATTCTTTAATGGTGTGTTCATTCAACTGGCTAATGACTTTTCCATCTTTCATATGTAATCTCACTTTACTTCGATCTTTCTGTTCACATCGTCAAAACTTTAATTAAGGATCCCTCTTGCTCGTTGCATCCAAAATAACAAAAAAAAATATCCATCGTGTTTCACTTTGTTTCTTCCAAGTTTTCATAAAATATTTGCTTCCATTTGGAATAAAAGGGCTTTAAGGACTGAAAAAATATCAAGCTGCATTGAAGGAAATATAATATAAAAATACCTCCAATTACTCTTATTTTTAAATTTAATAAACTACTGTTTTCTTAAATATAAAAATCCTTCAAGTACACTTTTTCTTAAATTGGACTAAGTACTAAATATTGAACGAGAGAGAGAGAGAGAGAGAGAGAGAGACAGACAGACAGACAGACAGACAGAGTGAGAGAGCAAATTTGACTATAACGACGAAGTAGTAATCTGACGTCTAATCGTCCCTCTACCGAAGAATTCCTAAGTCGGATCGGCTACGCCGAATCAGAGGCGCCAAATGAGCTACGCCGAATCAGAGGCGCCAAATGAGCTACGCCGAATCAGAGGCGCCAAATGAGCTACGCCGGAAAGTCCCATTCGCGATAAATAATATAAAAACTGATTGAGATTAAACGACCCCTGGCGATAATAACTCAAATCTGTGTAGTTTGTCTCTTCAGGAAGTTGGCGATCATGGCTCTCCACAGTTTTTTTTTTGTCTTTTGTAGCTCTTAGTAATTTTTTGTGCTCTTTTATGCCTCAAATAAAATTGTCAAATAAGTATTGCGTGCAAATATGACATTTTGTCCGACTTTATTTGTGCAAGAATCCATCATTAATTGATATTCAAAACATAACGCGTTATTTAACGAGATCTATAACTATTGAATAAATGGAGGGATATAATTTCTATCAAATTGCTGGCTGCTTTTTAAAGTTGAGATAAACAACAGTTTGCAGTTATTCGGATTAAATCTACCTTAATGTCTTTGAAATGTAATTTTTTCTAAAAATATATATTTGTGATATTGAATCGGAACTACAGATAAACATATCCTGTCATTTGTAAAATTGGAGATTTATTATAGATAGATAGATAGATAGATAGATAGATAGAAACAGACTGAGATAGATAGATAGATAGATAGATAGATAAACAGACTGAGATAGATAGATAGATAGATAGATAGATAGATAGATAGATAGAAAGAAACAGGCAGAGATAAATAGAAAGAAACAGGCGTATATAGACAGATAGATATATAGATAGATAGAAACAGACTGATATATATATATATATATAGATAGATAGATAGATAGATAGATAGAAACAGATTGAGATAGATAGATAGATAGATAGATAGATAGATAGATGGAAATAGGCTTAGATAAATATCAAGAAACTGACTTCGATAGCGAGCTAGCTAGATAGATAGATAGAAACAGACTGAGATAGATAGATAGATAGATAGATAGATAGATAGATAGAAACAGACTGAGATAGATAGATAGATAGATAGATAGATAGATAGATAGATAGATAGATAGATAGATAGATAAAATGTTGCTTTGTATCAAGACTAGAAAGTGAGAATTGAATAGCCCGATTGCACATATAGCTATAATACAATATAATGACGCATGGCAGAATGGCTTAAGAACTTCTTGAGGCAATGTTGATTATCCAAGGATAGCTTAAATGTGGTACAAGGCCGAAAGTATGAAGCACCGACTGAGGATTGATTAAAGTTGTAATTCATCTAACGATACGATCATGATGACCATTATGCTACATGACAGTACCTCTTTCTGTATCAATGGATCGTATGAGTACCATGAGGTCTGGAGTGAATTTAAACCCAAACGACATTCAAAGCACGGCACCTCATTCAGATTAGCGCCGTTCTTCGTAACTGGAGAACATCCGGGGTTTGAACATCAATGACGAAACGATCTGAAGATATATTATTCATTGATTTATGCGCTGAAACCGGCAAAATGGGAACATTACTTTTCCAAATCGATTGTTTAGTCCTCTGGAAGAGGTTCATAGTAGGGGATTCACTTGCAATTCCATGATATATCCCTCAAGGACCTTCTTTGGATAATGGTCACTCTTTTAAATGCGTGGTAGTGGTTCGTTTCTTTTTGTTTCTCGTTCTTTTAAAATATCCAATTTTCATCGTCCGGCTTGTTTATAAAAGTATTTAGTAGCGTTATTTCTCATTTATGTCGAGGCTACACTTCAAAGACATAACCAAACTAGTTAAGATGATTTTAAGTGTTTTATTTGGATATTTTGAGTATGTTTTTAATAACAGATATTGGAAATAAAGAAAGATGTTTTTCAAAAACTAAGCCAAGTATTAAGAATTATGAACCTTTCGTTAGAATCAACGAAAAACATCCTGAATAGATATGTCTGTAATATGTAATACCAGTCCTACGTCATGAGAGCGAATCTTGAACAATTTCATCACAAATGAAGATGAGACTTGAGGCAACAGAAATATGGCTCTACAGAAAGATACTGGGAATATCTAGGATTGACTATTTTATTAATGAGAGAGTTTTAAATAATAGAATCAGTAAGAGGCAGTTGAAATTTCTAGGGCTTATAATGAGGACAGGGGATTAGAGAATGGAAAACTCATAGGACATAGCGAGTGCAGGAGAGTTAGGGGAAAACAGCGAGGGACCTCTCTAACAAGCTTGTGTAAATGGATGGAAGAACTGGGGTTCGGAGAGATGATGGGAAGACAAAGCTTGCTAAGTACTAAAAAGAAAAGGAAGTTGTAAGCAGATACGATGGTCAACTTCCTGAAGGACCATCACTATAGAATAAGAAATAGATCAGCAGTAATTGCCAAAAGGAAACTTTGCCAAACTCTTAAAAATAACAGAAAAAGAACAAATCTCTTTCGAATGGAGTATTGCTGCCATATATGGTCTGGAGCCCCTACTGTTTGCCTCGGGGTTCTTGATAGGCTCCAGAGGCGAATATGCAATATAAATGGCCCTGTTCTGGCATCTCGTCTACAGTCACTCTCTCACAGACGCCCCGTCACCTCTCTCTGCCTTTTCTACAAATACTTTCATGGCAATTGCTCCGAGGAGCTGCATTCGCTGGTTCCCAGACTTCATGAGTTCAAGCGCCCTACGAGGCTGGCATCCCGCTCTCACCCTTTCACTGTCGAAACTCCTAAATGTAGCCGTATCTTCTACTCCAATTGCTTCATGTCTCGCACATCTCACCTGTGGAACTCCCTTCCCTATTCCAGTTTCCCTGAGAGCTATAATCTCCAACTATTCAAATGTAATGACAGTCGACATCTCCAGTTGCCTTGATCTATCCACTATCCTTCTCCTCATCCTTTCCTCTATCGCTCATATCTGATCTTGCTCCAAATCTTCTGTAACCCCTTGCGTCCTAGTGGCTTCTCGCCTTGCTTGGGGTGAAACGCTTAAAAAAAAAAAGAATGTGTCAGTTGTATTTTTACCTTTCCTTACTTAACTCGAGTCTTTTTCATAAATCGTATTGTCAGCTCAAGACTTTCCTTTGGATTTCAAACATGGCGAATCTATCCAAGCAGGCAGTTGTATTCAACCACGTTCTCAGATCAACAATTAGAAATTGCTTCGAGTGAATGAAACCTGTAAGTCTTAGCCAGGATCATCCTTCTTGGAACCTTGTGGAATCCCGAAAAAAGAACTGTACCAACTAACAAAACCCCCATCACGTGAGAACTTTCACCATCAGTAACAACCAAAATAGATATCAGATGCAACACGAAGCGAAAATAATGACATAAGCTATTGATGTCCAACACAACTTCAAATAAAATTTTGGGAAGTTCGCCGCCATCAATAAAAGTTAAATATTGGAAAATAAAAGTTATCGGACTTAAGAGACCTATTCATCAGAGAAATAGTTTTAAGAGAAAAGCTTTATAAAGTATTTGTCTATATTTCTGGGGTGAGGTATTATGTACATTATTTACATTATTCGGACTATTGTCCTCATCTTTGTCGCCATATTTATTACAACGTTTCGGCCGTTGTACGTTCCGGTCTTCTTCAGGTGGTTGGAATGTCGAACTGAACTCTTCATTTCGCTCATTTCTAGTTCCACGTTCTATGTTTTTTAATGGATGTCTGTTATCAGTTATCTCTTGTTAATTTCCCTCTGAAAGTTCTCCACTGCCTTAACCGGGTATTGAACTCACACTCTTTGGGTCCTGTCACTGGATCTAGCTAACTAGAACAGTTTACCACAGTGAGCGAAATAAAGGGTTCAGTACGTCATTCCAACCACCTGAAGAAGGCCGGAGCGCAAAACGGTCGAAACGTTGTAATAAATATGGTGACAAAGATGAGGACAATAGTCCGAATAATGTAAATAATGTGTAAGCTTTATAAATTTCAGCCGAGAGTAGTACTGGCTGCTGGGTCAGTGAATGCCGAATGTTTCATTATAAGTGAACGGTTGATATTACCATTAAAGATGATGAGAACAGATACTACACTTTGGTCCCAGCCCGATGGCCAGGGAGTGAAGAAAAGCGTAACTCAAATAGTATTGGCTGTTCGGTCAATAAATGTCGAATGTTTCTTTATAAGGAAAGCATTAAAACAAAGATGGATAATATGGCCAGAATGGTCTTTCTTTTCGATCTACAATGTTAGAACCAATAAACAAGAAAGAACAAATTCTGATATTTAGTTGAAACTAAACATTCCTTACACAATCAAGAGAAAAAGGCAGAACTCTATTCCACAATTCCCACCAATAATAGTTACAGAACTCGTCCATTACCTGACCAGTTAGTGGACCGAATAATACGCCGATTACATCCCCTGCACAGGGGCAAGACCTCACATAAATGGTAACCTAACATGTAAGTTCATACATAGTTAAGTATAAACAACCAATACTTGCCTATAAATAAGAGTATAAGCGCGACCAACACCTACATATAGACTGAAGTATAAATACGGCCTACCTATAGAATATAGTATAAATCTTTACTTACAGACTCAATAATAAATCTGATCAAAGTTTACTAATAGACTCAACTATAAGTCTGATCAATGTTTGTCTATGAAATTGATCAATATTTTCCTATGAATACGAGGGGTAAATACGATCTTGTGTCTACCTTAGATCCAAGTATAAATCTTGAACTACAGACTCAATAATAAACCTGATGAAAGTTTAATAATGGACTCAACTATAAACCTGATCAAAGTTTGTCTATGAAATTCTGATCAATATTTCTCTATGAAGTCGATTATAAAATCGACCAGTGTTTACCTATATAATGCTTTACCTAGAGGCTAAAGTATAAATACGATCAAAGTTTACGAATGGACGCAACAGTATATCTATGACGTCAAGACCAATATTTCTCTATGGTTTACCTATAGACTGAAGTATAAATGTTTACCTAGAAACGCAAGTATAAACCCGGTCAAATTTTATCAATGAAGTCAACACCAATATCCTTAAGGACTTGTGTATAATCACGACCAGTGTTTACCTATAGAATCAAATATAAATATTTACCTAGAGGCTCATGTGTAAACTCGATCAAAAC